TAAAACAAGCACCTTTTCGGATGAGGATTTTTATATATAAAAAAAATGAAAAAACGAAAGCAAACATGCACTTTATGTTTCTGTACAGCCAGTGTTTTGGGTGTGTGTTCACTTCTACCCATCTTGTAAAGTGGTACAGAAGCATGATTTGATCATGTAATTGTATCCTGAGAAATAAATAGCAAATAGCATTCCAATATCTTGGTCTTCCGGTGAGATAATATTGTACAGTATTCGTATTTTCCAACCCCCTCTCTCAAATGGAAACTTTGGAAGTAGCTGACAGTTCATGAGATTGATTTAAATATATAAGGCAGTTTTTCACACAACACATAGTAAGTATATTGTTGTGTTTTTGTTGTTTTCCTGCGAACAGCAATGCAAATGAAAAGTCAGTGTTTTGACGTTTTTATAATTGTAAATGGGGGAAAATAGGTTCTTGGGGGGAAAATAGGTTCTTGGTTCAAGCTGGTATACGTTCATACTTGGAATGCAGACTCTTGTCCTAGATAAATATACATGCCATTCATTAGAATATGTCACTTTTTCTTAGAAACAAGATGGCTGATGCACAATCCTTCTACTGCGGTAGCTGTTCTCTATGTCTTTTCCTTTTCCTGCCTTTTAGAAGTCATTTATGTGAAAAGACTAGAGCTAGGCAATTGATGAATTCATAGTTAAAGCAAATGGCTAATGTTCCACTATAAATCTTAAAACATGTCTACCTCACCTTAACTGCTCATGCTAATCACTATAAAGATATTTTTATACCATATTTTAACACCTTTCAGAGCATCCCTGATTCCTCAATCTGTCAGGTGCTTTATGATTCCCACTTGCGCAATAAAAGACAATGTAAAACTTTATTTCAACTGATGTCAGTATCCTTCTGATTCACCTCTCCAGGTTCTAGAGGGAAATTAGGCAACAGAGAAAGCTATTTCTGATTTAAAATGTCACAGGGACTATATTTTTAAGCCACCACACCATTTCTTCAACACAAACCCAATGGCATGAATTCCAAAGAGTGTTATCATAGAATCATGGTATCTTAGAGTTGGAAGGAACCCAAAGGTCATCTAGTCCAACCCTCTGCAATTCAGGAATCTCAGCCAAAGCATCCATGACAGATGGTTATCCAACCTCTGTTTAAAAACCTACAAGGAAGGAGAGTCCACAACCTCCCAAGGGAGACTGTTCCACTGTCAAACATCTTCTTCATAAAGTTTTCCCATATGTTTAGTCGGAATCTCCTTTCTTATAACTTGAAGCCCTTGGTTTGAATCCTACCCTTCACCCAATAACATTTCTCCATCTTCTCCATGCAGAGCACCTACCACTTGCCTGTTCTTCTCCCTCTTGCTTTGAACATAGCCAAAGAAACCTTTTAGAAATTATTTTTAACCTCTCTTGCAGGACCTGAGTGTTAGAATTCCTGCTCCATGATTGCAGTCATAGGATTGTTGTCTTTCACATGACGGTATATGTTTTGACTCCACAGAGTGGGATGTGACGGAGACAGGATGTTTGTGTCCCTGTGTTCCGTGAAGTGGGACTATTGTCCTTTGTTCTTTTTCACATTGCTGTCTGGTGCTAGAGAGAGAGGGAGCCATGTTGCAGTGCTCCGTGTGTGTTTATATGTAAATAAAGTAGATTAGCCAAAACGCTGAGTTGCTGAGGTTTGTCAGGCATGATGCGCAAACTCTGCGGATCCCTAAGTGTGCCGGTGTTGGTTGGCATCAGTCGCTGTGATGTTCGGGCTGAAGAAAGCTTTTGAAGCTCCTGAACGATCGACCAGGAGGGAGGGAACATGCCATTCGGGCATGGGTCTCTGCCAGGGTCCTACTCGAGTGTAGGCTGAACTCCTGACACTGAGCTCATTCTAAACTTTAGCCCACCTGACATTCACTCTGCAACTGTTGGCTACTTATGTATACTCTTTTGGGGGGATTTCTCCTTTCTTCCATTTCTTATGCATGCCCTTCTTAAATCTCAGCTCATCCGTAAGCTCCTTATGAAGCCACACCAGTTTCCTTAGATGCCTCCCACTTTTCTTTCCTGTTGGCTCTCCTATTTTGGTCTCTACAGCAACAGCAGGCACTGTAACTCTCCAATGATTTGACTTCACTCCCAAAGGCACACTCTTCTATTGTCGCCTGAAACAGATGGATGTCTTCCATATGCTACACCTGCACTCTGTAGATGGAGGGATTGCAGGGCATTCCTATCCTATGGTAGCCCAGCTTCCCCCATAAGGGCAGCAATGGATTCAAAGACAACAACAACACCATCCTCTGTGTCTTTTTGTTGTGTCCCAGCTGTATTGCAGTTCTGCCACTCCTTCTCCTTCTTGCTGCTAACTGACTCCAAGGACCTTCCCCTAGGCTATTTCATTCAAAACTGAAACCCTAAACCTGAGAGTCAGTGTGGTGTAGTGGTTAAGAGCGATAGACTTGTAATCTGGTGAACTGAGTTCGTGTCTCTGCTCCTCCACATGCAGCTGCTGGGTGACCTTGGGCCAGTCACACTTCTCTGAAGTCTCTCAGCCTCACTCACCTCACAGAGCATTTGTTGTGGGGGAGGAAGGGAAAGGAGAATGTTAGCCGCTTTGAGATTCCTTAAGGGGAGTCCAACTCCTCCTCCTCCTCCTCCTCCTCTACTACTACTTCTTCTTCTCTTCTTCTTCTTCTTCTTCTTCTTCTTCTTCTTCTTCTTCTTCTCCTCCTCCTCCTCCTCCTCCTTCTCCTTCTTCTTCCCCCTGGATAGTTCAGTTGCTTAGAATGTGATGCTGACAACGCCAAGGTTGCAGGTTTTGATTCCCATATGGGACACCTACATATTCCTGCATTGCAAGGGGTGGACTAGATGATCCTCTGGGTCCCTTCCAACTCTACAATTATATGACTCTATGTATAAACCCAGCAAAGAAGGGGCCCCACTCCCTTTTGCCTGGCAGTCTTGATCTCTGATGGTTCCCTTGATGGGCCATCAGTGGCCTTTGTCCCTTACTAATGGCCCAAACTGCTAGCTTCGCTGAACTAGCTTGGCTCCTTAGCACAACTGGATTCATGGAGTTTCCATGTTTGGCAAAGTTTAATCAAACCTTGGTTAATTGTAACTTTTACTAAATCATAACATATTTAGAAGGCTCTTGCCCGCCCCGATAACATCATAAATATATTTTATCTTCTGTCTTCAGATGAAATAAATGTGCAGAAAAGAGCTTCTTCTGCCTATTTTTATTGGTCTTTCAACCCAACCCCCCAAAAGAAGAAAAAATGTATTGTTTTCCTCAAGTTACGGAAAATCATTCTGACATGATTTCACCTCAAGTTTAATTGAGTCAGTGAGTGGATATAATGAAGCATTTTGTTAGTGGTCTCCAGTGGAGGTGTTAATAGGAAGGAAAGTAATTTTCACCTTATTTATATGTTGTATAAATATAAAGCGATCTTTCTGCCGAAAGCTCAATTTTCTTCATACTATTTCAGTAAAGGTTGCAGGCCCTTATTCAAGAAATATGATCTTTTATTGCAAATTACAGTACAAAGTTGTATTTCTAGAAGCAATAAACAAAACTACTGATTCATGGTAGAATAATAATGCAAACAAAAAGTGTTCCAGATGCCATATTAGTCACACATTTGAGAACCTTAAATAGCCATTTTCTAATGGCAAAGGCTTATTAGCCAACTCACTCTGTTGCAGCTTCTCAATTAAAATATGGCAAATTAGTGTTTGAGAACAATTATGTTTTGTTTCATAGAACTCTGAATAATAAAAATGGACTACAATCGTACCTTGGTTGTCAAATGCTCAGGAACTCGGATGTTTTGGGTCCTGAACACCGCAAACCCAGAGTGAGTGTTTCGGTTTGCAAACATTCATTGGAACCCGAATGTCCGACACGACTTCTGCAGCTTCTGACTGAGTGCAGGAAGCTCCTGCAGCCAATCAGAAGCTGTGCCTTGGTTTGTGAACATTTTTGGAATTTGAACAGACTTCCGGAACAGATTCCGTTCAACAACCAAGGTACGACTGTATATCCATTTAATGGCAAGCAGTGCGATCCTAACCATGCAAATTCAAGTAAGTCCTATTGAATTCAATGGACTTACTCCAAAGTAAGTGAGGTTATTATTGCAGACGTATGCCTTTATGAGATATAAAGTGTGGTATTCAATAAAGCACTTCTGCTAGTGCAAGGATTTCCATGGATCATAGATCCTCCTCTCCTCTCCTCTCCTCTCCCCTCTCTGCATCCCCCTGAATCTACTCTGGAAGGTTGCAGGAACACCCAAAACAGATTTAGAGGGCATTGGGGACATGGAAAGGATGTTCCACTGCACAGCCAAATGTCCTTACTGTAGCTGGACTACTTTGTTGAATACCACTCAAATTAATTAAAAATAAATAAATCATGGTGGTGCTGTTCTTACCTATTATCTGGTTAATAAAGTTCATTTTCTGTGACTTCAGAGAATGACTGGAATTAAGTGCCTTCTGTAGGCCAGTGTACTAAACCTACATCTAATTGTTTCCAGTCCATGGTCTTTAGGTGAAAGTGCTTGAGCTGAAGATGATATTGTTCCGTTTCTGCTACCAGGCCAGCAAGAGTTACTGCATTTATATCCTAATCTGACTCTCTAACCACTGCCCCACACTGAGATTGCCTTCCTTGACCAAGCAAAGGGTAGAAGGCTGCAGGCTTCCTATTTTCCACTATGGCACAAAATGATTCTTGTATCCATGTGTGGCCACCAGTATACACCAAGGGGCAGGAAGTGGACTTTTTATGGCACATGGCAAACTCTCTGGGCACAGTGCACATGGTAGGCATGGATTAAAATTTTTTTAAAAAAAAATTGTTGGATTAAAGTTGGATAGTTGACAAAGGATCTTATGCGCAATATCAAATCAGGGTGTTAGCCTTTTATAAAATAACCAGTGAATCCAATGCAATAAAATAAAATTACAATTCTCTTTCTGTTTCTCAACAGGAGCTGCGGTTCACAAGGTTGAGGTAAGATGCTAATCTTAATAAAAATAAATGAAGTGTTTGATTAGAACGGAACACAAAAGCATACAAGCCTTGTCTCAGGCTTGGTGGTTGAGCTGCGTGATGAAATTAAATATGGCTGTTTGGAAGATTACAGATGATCTCTTGTTCCCTACTTTATTGTTTTGCTAAGTTGATACGCCATTACTTAAGCATTGTCTTGGACTGCATAAACTCAGTGCTTATTTGTAAATCAGAGTGGAAGTGAGTGTGAATTTACACTCCCCACCTCTGACCTTGAACTTTCATAACTGGATTTGGGCAGGTGGAAGGGAATGATTTTCAATCATATGACTGCCTCACCCATGGCAGCCATTTTTTTTTTAAAATGAAAAGCCATGGGTGCAAGTGAATGTGGAAACTAAGCTATAGCAATGTCTATGCAGGCCTGTTGATGGAGCGTGAAAACCTTATTGACTATGGCTTCACATAATGAGATGGCCATAGGAATAGGCCATCATTAGAGAGTGGATCATCCATGTATTCAAAGAGGACAGATCCATTTCAGACTGCAACAGCATAACATTTCATTTTAGTAATTCCTTTACATTTCAGCCATGAAAAAGAAAAGTCGCATGTCAATGACAAAGTCTGTGCTTATTTTTCTATGTGCAGGGAGCATTTTATGTGCGGAAACTGTCAAACATGTGGTGTCCAATCTGTAATATGGTATGACAGTCGGGGGACTCTGGATAAACCCAGAACTAAGTGAGAATGTGAAGCACAGTTCTGAAATTTAAAGCAAAAGTAGTAGAGTAGATAGCAAGAGAGAATTTTTTTGCAACCTCATAAGAGAATTAGGTATAAATTTCCTTAGAAGAGAAGGGGGCAACTCTTTTGATGTTTTGAATATAAAATTCCAAAATGATAAGAAGAGACTCTGGAGAGGAAAAAAACCCCATCAAATTCAAATGCCTACCCTCCCCCAAAAAATCTGACTTTCACCACAAAATTCTTCAGGCAGTCCCTGCCTATGAAATAAGCAGATGTGCATGGCAATTCTATAGATGGCAACTCAGAAGTAAGCCCTGTTGATTTCATCAGAGCTTACTTCCAGGTAAGAGAGTACAGGATTCCAGCCTTAATCATTTATAAGTACATTTCTAACACCTCATAATATGTACTGGGTGTGTAGGTTCATAATCTTTTCATCGTGGACGTATGATATACTGCATAATCTAATAAGCTTTATTGCTGAGGGTGAACCTGGTTACTGGGAGGGGGAAAAACATTTACCTGAAGAGTGTGAGATTTGCTAAAATCTAATGTATCTGTGTCACAAAGATGACTTATTTCTTTCTATAATGCCTATATTGGATAAACATTTTCCCTCCATTTTCAGAGATTTCAATCTCAATTTTCAGAGAAGCACAGGGCACTGTGAAGTTTATACATCCCAATCTTTTCATAGCCTAGGGATATTCCTATCTATTAGATCAGTTTCTTTTCCCCCCTGAAACTCAATAAATTCTTCCACTCCGATCGTGATGTGACTGTTTCCCTCTATATGAAATAAATGAGCCACGAAAATAGTCTATATCCTATACAGTGGTCACACTTTCAACCCAAATCATACATCTGCATTTTTGGCAACAGAGCAGCTTACTAAGTCATAATGCTAGTGACACTCTTGTGTGGTGAGTGTTGTATATTAGAGAAATATTCTATTTGTATGCTGTATGCTGTATGCAGCTCTGTAGAACAGATATTATTATTATTATTATTATTATTATATTATAATATTATTATTATTATTATTAAATACCCTACCCAACTGGCTGGGTTTCCCTAGCCACTCTTGGCAGCTCATAGAACATACTAAAACATCAAACATAAAAGTTCCCAATAGAGGGCTGCCTTTAGATATATTCTAAAAGTCAGATAGTTGTTTATTTCCTTGACATCTGATGGGATGGAGTTCCACAGGGTGGGTGCGACTGCGGAGAAGGCCCTCTGCCTAGTTCCTTGTAACTTCACTTCTCACAGTGAAGGGGACCACTAGAAGGCCCTCAGAGCTATATCTCAGTGTCTGGGCTGAACGATGGGGGTAGAGACGCTCCTTCAGGTATACAGGACTGAGGCCATGTAAAAACACGCTGATTCCCAGACCGTCCGTGGGCCGGATTGAGAAGGCGATTGGGGTGTGAAACACATAGCAGTCAAGTACAGGATTCCTAGAGTGGACATGCTAGTGGATGCTTTGTACCAGCCAGGAGAAAACATCCTGTTTCCTCCTGAGCTGGAACAAACTTCCTCTGCATGTGACTAGAGGCAGGCGTGGTCTAATCTAGCAAGGCAGGGAGCACACTGCTCTCTCTCTTTTTCAGATCTTCCCCTTTTTGTTTTTCTGTGAGTCAGCAGAAATGACTGCTTGTTTGCAGTCACTTGGGAACTAACTCCCTTATGGGATAGTTCCACAATATGTATATACTTTTGTAACGTAAGTCTGCCTTCAGGGATCTAACTGTGAACTGAATGAATGTGAGTAAACTACTTTTATACTGACTTCAATCACATTGTCACATTTATTCTTTTTAAGAGGGACAAGTGGGGATCTTACCAGGAATCCTATATTAAGAGGCTAAAACTAGCCTGCAACAAGCAAACTGCTGCTCGTTTAAAGGGGAATGGTTTAAACTCTGCTAAGATATAGAACTTGCTAACGCAAGTCAGGAAGGATATCATTAAGCAACATATCCTCTCCTGCCTCCCTGAACATTCCCACAGTGAACCCCTTCATTGTAGGCTCAGGTTGTATATATGGCTCCATATATCAAAAAGACACCACAGTCTCTGCTGTGCCTCATTCTGAGGAAACCAAACCCCTGAACCCATGAATCGTGTACTGCTCGGAGATCGGGCTGGCGTGCAACAGAGGATTAATTGGATTGGGCCCCTTAATTTATAATGGGGAAATAATCCATACTGACAAAGCCATCTCTATGTGAATTGCTTCTTTTTTTTTAGCACATGAACTCCTTATCCCTAACCTTTTGAATACAATGAAAATCGTTTTACTATATTTAGTATAAAAAAAATAGCACAACAGGTTCATCTCCACCACCTCCTTCCCCCAGCCCATAATGTACCTTTAATGTTATCATCCTCGCAAATCCACCTGCAGACTGTCTGGTCAGGTGTATAACTGGAAAAGGTCAAGGCAAAATATCAGCATACTTAACAAATGGATTTGCGTGCAGTGTTCGTAGGAATCCTTCCAGTTGCATGGCAACCATCTTTGTAATTACTATTTGCAACTCCATTTTTAATAGTTTGATTACTATTTTCTCCATTATATTGTTGCATATAATGAATTTAAATTCATCCCTCTCACTTTCTTCTTCTTCTTTACAACAATAAATGCAGGCTAGTATCAGGTCAACTAGCATTAAACTTAGCTTCCAAAAACAGATGAGTAATGCCTAGATAGCACATTATACAGATTTTGAGGTTCTAGTGTTAGAAGTAGAAACATAAGCAGCTACTTGTCCTGACTCAGACCATTGTTCCATCTAGCTCAGTACTGTCTGAATACTACCGAGTGGCAGTGGCTCTCCAGGATTCCAGAGGGGATCTTTTCTAGCCCTACCTGGATTGACAGGGATTGAATCTGGAACCTTCTGCATGCAAAGCAAATGCTCTAACATTGAGCTATGGCCCTCCCAATGTATGTAACCTTATATCTCAAAATGGATAGGAGATGGAATGGCAGAGAGGGATAAAAGTGACAAGGGAAATCATAAGCCCATGCTTGATAATAAGGGGTGGTAAATTAGCAGTATGGCACACATTGTCATCCCTTTCAGTAACTTTCAAACAGGGGTGTCAACTTGAATAAAATATTGGGGGGGGGGCAGGTAAGCCCCACCTCGCATAATCAATCTCAGACATGGTGTATGCACGCCATTTCAATGGCAACACCTTTGAACTTTGAGGGGCCCCAGCCCCCTCAAATATTTTATTAGGGTGTCCGAAGGGACCTTGGCCCATAGAAGTTGGCTCCTATGCCTTCGGACAAAAATTTAATAAACATTGATTCAGAAGCACACTGGTAATTGAGCTAAATAAAGGTTTGTGGCTTTGCCATTAAAATGGAAGGGGGTATATTGGGCCACAGAATACTTTTGAGTTGAAAAGGTTTAAGAACTGCCTTAGATTGCATTTAATTCTCACTTGCATTAACTTTCCTGTGCATTCCTTAGTATACACTGAGATCCACTGCAGCATGTTGAGTGAAAAGCACCCAATTCTTGGCTATAGGCATTCCATAATTCTGCAAACTAGAAAAGATTTGCATGTTTCTTACATATGTTACACTATTTTGTATAATAATAATAATAATAATAATAATAATAATAATAATAATAGATGGGTTGAAGCACTTTACTGGGGGAAATGTATTTTGTGAACTAGCTATAGAATGCAAAGTCGCATTCACAGACTGTGCGCAGTTGCCAAGACCCGTGTGGAACAGAGGAGAAGGAAAGCCTGTCTCTGTCTGTGGTGGCGAATAAGGTGGAACAGAAGTAGAAATAACTAATTCTAGTTTTGTTCCCATTATCCTCCCTGTCAGAGGCACCAAATTGCTAGGGAAATTGAGGGGAGCTGACATTGCACACGTGACACACATGACGCACAGTGTCGCATCATGACTTCAGATGGAGCTAGGGGCGGAGCCACACATGGCAGTTGCCCTGCTTCAATGGCTGGTGGCTCCTTCTCTTTGGCCCTTGGTCTCCTCCTCTTCCTCTTCCTGCTTTCACAACCGGCCAAGGGTTGCTTCCCCCCCCTTTCCCCTCCATGGCAAGAGGAGGAGGAGAAGGAGCTGGCCACTGAAGCTGTGCTTGGCCTCCTCCACCCACTGTCTTTTTGAACATTGGGGTGCAGCTTCCAAAAAAATTATTGTGGGGCCCCTAAAGTCCTGGGCCCCTAGGAGTTGGCACCCCTGCTCTTTACTGAGTTGTGCAAGGGC